GTAGGAATATAAATATAAGTATGTACGTGGCAATATCCTGGCTGAAACAGTGAATATAGATCAACGTATATTCCTATGGTTAACAGTGAAGGAAATGCACAGAACAGAGCGATTGATCTCTTATGGTTAAGGGAGGACAAAGACACAGTATGACAGACACGGTGCTGCAATAGTAACAAGGGACAAATTGTCATATACGGCAAGGTGCGCTGGGTGCGGAAACTGCAAGCTACCACGTCTCAGAACCTTACAATCTTACGACCCCTGCACTGACCTACCAAAACTTCCAATCCTATCCCCTGCACTGACCTACCCAAACTTCCAGTCCTATCCCCTGCACTGACCTACTCAATACTCAAATCCACCATCTGCACTGACCTACCCAAACTTTCAATCCTATCCCCTGCACAGACTTACTCAAACCTCCAATCTTATCCCCTGCACTGACCTACCCAATGCTCCGATCCTGCCCACTGCACTGACCTACCCAATGCTCCGATCCTGCCCCCTGCACTGACCTACCCAATGCTCCGATCCTGCCCCCTGCACAGACTTACCCAATGCTCCGATCCTGCCCCCTGCACAGACCTACCCAATGCTCCGATCCTGCCCTCTGCACTGACCTACCCACCTACCCAAACTTCCAATCCTATCCCCTGCACTGACCTACCCAATGCTCCGATCCTGCCCCCTGCACTGACCTACCCAATGCTCCGATCCTGCCCCCTGCACAGACCTGCCCAATGCTCTGATCCTACCCCCTGCACAGAACTATCCAATCTTTTCGATCCTATCCTTGCACTGACCTAACCCAATTCTCCGATCATAATACCTGGCACTGACCTACCCAATCTTCCAATCCTACCCACTGCACTGACGTACCCAAACTTCCAGTCCTACCCTACACTGACCTACCCAAACTTCCAGTCCTATCCCCTGCACTGACCTACTCAATACTACCCCCTGCACTGACCTACCCCCTGCACTGACCTACCCCCTGCACAGACCTAGCCCCTGCACAGACCTACCCCCTGCACTGACCTACCCAAACTTCCAATCCTACCCCTTGCACTGACCTACCCCCTGCACAGACCTACCCCCTGCACAGACCTACCCCCTGCACAGACCTACCCAAACTTCCAATCCTACCCCTTGCACTGACCTACCCCCTGCACTGACCTACCCCATGCACAGACCTACCCAAACTGCTGAATACACCCTGCACTGACCTACCCCATGCACAGACCTACCCAAACACCCTGCACTGACCTACCCCATGCACAGTCCTACCCAAACTTCCGATCCTATTCTTGCAATTACCTACCCAATGTTTCGATCATACCGCCTGGCACTGACCAACCCAGTCTTCCAATCCTACCCTGCACAGACCTACCCAATGCTCCGATCATACCCCCTGGCACTGACCTATCCCATTCTCCAATCCTAACCCCTGTACTGACCAACCCAATGCTCTGACTCTCCTCTTCTGCTTTGACCATATTTCATGCTCTGTTCTGACCCTCACCCATACAGAGCCCATGCCATCCACACTAATTTTACAGGCTGCAGTACTTACTACCTGGCTAAGCTACTAGCATTGGCTGTCTTGACTGTCCTTGTTGCTGCCTCTACCTGCTGATTTGTCGCTAGTGACTTCATGTGAGGATTGCACCCTTCTTTTGTTATTAAAAACCCAGTCACAATTCACACCCTTTATGAATTGATACAGGAAATCCCCTTCACCGTTTTCCAACCTGAGACACAATGTCAATATATGTTTCCACGCACCCGGGACACACTGCCACACACTGAGACACAAGAACAACGCCAAGGACTCATCCAGTCTGCAGATATAGCTGCACCAGTAATGTTTATTGGTCTACTGTCTGGTGCACACCGTCACTAAAGTACAGCAAAGCATGATGGACTCTGGGCTACAGGAATATTCAGTCCAAATATGCCTCACTGTATTTCAGTTTTAAATCCTGTGTGCATTGACCTGGCACACAATGCAGTCACCCAGCAAATGTGGCCATTAGACAGCTAATCAATTGTAACAATTGTAGAACCATTGGAGCAGGTTGTCCGCATGAAATACTGTGTGTTTGTGTGTATACGTCTAAAAAGTGGTGTGCATTGATGGCTTGCCTTGACTGCAGGTTTTTGATCCGGGCGAGCATATCCAGGTGTCCGGCCGAGTACTGTTCGATCACGTCCATCACGTCGTACGGTCTGAGGCTTTCCTTGAACTTTCGTTTGGACACCATGAACCGCATAATGCTGACGAAACAGAAGACGCTCAATGATTGTCTGATAAAACTGGTCGAACGTTACCTTGTGACTTCAACGTTAGAAAACAAGGCAGCAATTCTCAGTAATGATGGAAATACTTTTAGCAACGGCAACTGCTCTAGAAGTACGAATCCCTTATAATAACGACAATAACCCATCTGACGGTTTTACTGTCAACTTGAACAGTGGCCATTGTAAAGTTTTGTAAATCTTTCAGGGGAACGGAGCTGTCTGCGCCATGAGCAGATGTGCTTCACATGAGCTCTGTCACTTTGCTATTAAAAATGCCATTTCCCAGCGGACAGGGACCCTACTGGATCTTATTTACAAAATCCAAGTGAAGTGAATTAATTAGGGTCACTTATCTGGAGCTTCCATGCCACTATGCTTCCTTGAGCTTCTGGCAGAGATATCTCTAATAAGACAGAGAGGGCTATTTTTTTATATCCACCCAATGGCCATATCTTTTTTTCTTTGGTTTTTACTGTATGTATTGGGGCAGATGAGTACTATGGTCGTTGCTGCTGCCCAAGAGTTGTGGGAGTTTGAGCGCAGGACTTTTTGTTCTATTTGTATTCACTTTTGTATCACACAGCTATGCAGTGGTGTCTCTAGGATTAATTTTTAAGGGGGGTGCATTGTGGGCCAGGGACAAAAGTAGGGGGGAACATTTAACCCCGCCCTCGCCGCAATGTGACCCCGCCCCTGCCACATGTTAAGCCCCGCCCCCGACACAATGTGTTGACTTTTTTTTTTAAATAATCCCTGGTGGAGGATTCATTATTTTCCACCAGGGATTATTAAAAAACAAACACATTTCCCTTGATACAGTGCCATAGTTGCCAACATTTGAAAAAAATTTCCAAGGATATTTTGCAGCACAGCTATCAATTACTGTCTGGGTATAATATCCCTGGACAGTCAGTGCTCTCTGTATAATACAGGGTTGTGTGTATAATAAATTGGGACAGTCAGCGCTCCCTGTATAGTGCTGCTCTCTGTATAATACATGGCTGTGTGTATAATATCCCGGGACAGTCAGTGCTCCCTGTATAGTGCTGCTCTCTGTATAATACAGGCCTGTTTGTGTATAATATCCTAAGACAGAGAGCAGCACTATACAGGGAACACTGACTGTTCCAGGATATTATACAGACACAGACCTGTATTATACAAAGAGCAGCACTATACAGGAAGCACTGACTATCCCGGGATATTATACACACAGAGATCTGTATTATACAGAGAACAGCACTATAGTACAGATAGCTGGGCATATACCCCATGTCCGAATCTCTAGACTTCCAGTAACTGTCAACAGCAGCTCCCAGATGCGTGTAACAGGGCTAAAGTGTGCGGCAGCTCACACAGATGATTCAGCGGTAAAGCGCACTCGCTGGCAGAGCCAAACTGGGAATCCAAAGCAGCCCTGGAAAAAAATGTATGCCATTCCTACAAGTCAATATATATATATATATATATATATATATATATATAGCACACAAGCTCACTGACATGCGCACATAGACTCACTGACAGACAAAAAACTCTGACTCACACACAAGCTTACTACAGACAAACTCACTTATATAAATACAAGGCTCACTACAAAGAAGTTCAGGGACACACACAAGCTCACTAAAGACAAGCTCACTGACACACACATGCACACTAAATAGAAGCTCACTGACACACACAAGCAGTACCATCTTAACAGTGTTAAGGGCCCCGGGCAAAGCAGTGCACTGGGGCCCTTCCTACACAACAACTCACAGGAATAAAAATTGTAATTATTGATATACTGCTGAGTACATACACACAGTACACTGAATACAAACACTGAGAGACTGCTGAATACACACACACACACACACACAGAGATTTCTGAATGCACACAGACTACTGAATGCACACAGGCATTGCTGAATGCACACAGGCTGATTTATACACTTACACACAGACTGCTGAGTCCATACACACACACACAGACTGCTGAGTCCAAATACACACACAGACACACACAGACTGCTGAGTCCATACATACACAAAGACACACAAACACAGACAGCTGAGTCCATACACAAATACAGACTGCTGAGTTCATACACACACACACTGCTGAGTTCATACACACACACAGACTGCTGAGTCCATACACAGACACACAGACTGCTGAGTTCATACACAGACGCACAGACTGCTGAGTTCATACACACACACACTCACACTCACACACACAGACTGCTGAGTCCATACACACACACAGACTGCTGAATCCAGAAACAGACTGCTGAGTCCATACACACACACAGACACACAAACACACAAACACAGACAGCTGAGTCCATACACACACAGACAAAAACTGCTGAGTCCATACACACACACAGACTGCTGAATCCATACACACAGACACACAGACTGCTGAGTTCATACACACACAGACGCACGGACTGCTGAGTTCATACACACACAGACTGCTGAGTCCATACACACGCAGACTGCTGAGTCCATGCACACACACAGACTGCGTGTCGAGTCCATACACACACACATAGACTGCTGAGTCCACACACACAGACAGACTGCTGAGTTCATACACAAACACAGACTGCTGAGTCCATACACACACACAGACTGCTGAGTCCATACACACACAGACTGCTGGGTCCATACACACACAGACTGCTGGGTCCATGCACACACAGACTGCTGATTTGTCTCTGAAGAAGTAGGGGCACATCTACGAAACGCGTTAGACTGTAAGGACACACATCAGGACTCAGTTCTACCAGACACACGTCATCCACAGTCAGCATCCTTCCAGGACCTATTGGTTTGTGTATTGCTACGAAGCCGTTCACAGCACATATCCCTCCAGAGTGAGGCTCCCACAGGGACGCTTGGTGTATTCACATGCTGTTCTCTCCAGCAAGATTTCAATCCACATCCATCCTCATCTGTACCAAAGGTTTCTGTGTAGGTCTGACAACATACCACATGGTAACAATGATATGAACTTTTCCTGATGTGTATTTTTCGATTTTTAATCTTATTTGCATTTTTTTAATCATTTTTGCATATTTTTAACCAGTTTGAGAACCAGTGCTTGTCATCTATCACTGATTTCAGTGCATAAGAATATTTTAGCCTACAGTTCCCCATACTGTATTGCTATAATATGATACATGTTTCTATTTGTATCCAACTAGATACTAAGTATATCATATAGTATTTGGTACAGGTGCCAGACATTCTGCTATATAGCAGTGATTAAGTCACTTGTACTGCACATGCTTGTTCCAGATTTACCTCATTGTTTCTTTTTCTTTCATTTTTTTTTTCCTTTTTGCATTTTTACCATTATTCATTTTTATTATATTTTATTAATTTATTCTTTTTTTGCACTTTTTTTTTTATCATTTCTTATTAAGTATCCTTCCTTTTACACTTTTAAAAAATTTTTTTTTTCTCTATTTCATGATTTTTTAATCTATTCATCTTTTATGATTTTTTAATCCATTCACCTTTTACTATTTTGGGTCCACTTATATTCGCATTGTTCTTATTCTGATATATAACTTAAAGGTACAGCATCCCTCTTAAAGGTACAACACCTCTATTAGTATTACCCTTTTATAGATATTTTAGCTTTTTTAGCCACATTTTAGGCGAGCTCCTGGCATCCCTAGACACTTCCTTTATAGGTTCTAGTGGATCCCTATTTGTGCCAGTTTTGAGCAACCTAATACTAGTCCAACTCCCTCATTTTTGGGCAACACACTAGGTGTACCAGTACAAATCATACACACACACAGACTGCTGAGTCCATACACACACACAGACTGCTGGGTCCATGCACACACACAGACTGCGTGTCGAGTCCATACACACACACATAGACTGCTGAGTCCATACACACACACACACATAGACTGCTGAGTCCATACACACACACACACACACACACACACAGACTGCTGAGTCCATACACACAGACTGCTGAGTCCATACACACACACAGATACACACAGACTGCTGAGTACATACACACAGATACAGACTGCTGAGTCCATACACACACAGACTGCTGAGTCCATACACACACAGACTGCTGAGTCCATACACACACACACACACACACACACACTGCTGAGTCCATACACACACTGCTGAGTCCACACACACACACACACACACACAGAC